GTTCCACACTGGTAGTGGTTACTATTGATTCCATTCCAGATGCCAGTACATTAAACTTAAGTAGTTGAGCTTGCCTCTGCTTGATTCTCTCATCATCAGCACTCTGTGGCATATCCTGCTCTCTTTGTGATAGAATGTCTGATTTAGTGTTCAACTTCTCTAACTGATAATCAATTCTGAAGTTGAATTGATAGAGAATATCCATTCAATGTAGCTGTTTTTTATTTAGTCTGCATGTAGTCATGAAGTATTCTAGATTCTTATGATCTGTGAGAATTTTGAATTCTTTTACACTTTGTAGCTCAGCATTCTATTCCTTTAAACACTCAATTATTGCTAATAACTCCTTATCATGAATCTCATAGTTGCATTCCACAGGTGAATTCTTGTAAGAGAAGAAGGCATATGAGTGTAGAATGCTCTGCTCATCATATTGTAGCAGCACTCCTTCTGAGATGTAATCTAAGAAGTTCATTTTCAATATAGTCTCATGATCTGGGTCAAATTGAAGCAGGATTGGAGCAGAAATAAACATTGATTTTAGACACTTAAAAGCTTTCTCAGTCTTGCTCATCTACAAAAAAGGAACATTCTTGCATGTAAGAATTGTCAGTAGGGTCACAATCTTTGAGAAATCCCTGATAAATCATCTATAGAAATTGGCAAAGCCTAAAAATTCTCATACACTTTTAAGAGTAGTAGATGTCACTTATTCCAAAACAGCTTTAATCTTCTCTGAATCTATTCATATATCCTTGCCTGCTTCAATGATGAATTCAAGATATTTTGTGCTGTTCATCTTGAACTCACTCTTTCTGATGTCTGCCTGCAGACCTGCTTCCCATAGACACATAAGCATCTTTTGTACATGCTTGTGATGCTCCTGTAAGCTTCTTGAGGAAAATATCAAGATGTCATCTAAATAGGCTGAGCAGAAGTTGTCCAGATATTCATGTAATGCCCAGTTGATATATTTTTGAAATGTGCTCAGAGCATTGGCCAAATCAAAGAGTGTAACCAGTTACTCAAATAGCTTGTATCTGATTCTAAAGACTGTCATCTACTCATCATCTTCTGTGATTTGAATCTTGTAAAAAGCTGCAATAATGTTCAGCTTAGTAAATGATTTAGCCTGTCTAATTCACTGTAGAGTCTTACTGATTAATGATAGAGAATATCAATCCTTTCAGATGATTTTATTAAGAGCTCAATAGTTCACATAAAATCTTAGCCCACTCCCAGACTTCTTCATGAATAGTACAGGGGCGGCCACAGAGGAGTTGCTCACTCTAATAAAACTCTTATCCAGATAATCTATAAGAGTCTTTCATAAAGTCAGTAGTTCCTCTCAAGATATATTATATAATAGACTCCAAGGGGGTTGTTCTGCACTACCATCAGCCTTTTTAATCAGTTCAATTCCATGATCTCTATCTGAGTCATGAAGTGGAAGTAGAGCATCAGCAACTTCCTTATCAAATATGTTTAAAAACTCATGATAATATTCAGGCAGCTTTTCTCTAGAGTCAATCTTTGATTTCACTTCTAGAGTCTTTTGAATGTTGGTCAAACTGACAGCAAAGATCTCAATGTTTTGCTTCTCTTGAGTGCTCATAAGTCTAGAGAAGCTTACAGTAAAGATGAGAATCACATCAGCTTTTGCATTTGAACTAGACTCTACCTCTATGCCATTCTTTTCAAATCTCACAATTCTTTGATAAGGGATCACAGTCACCTTTTGCTGGGCCAACCAGGGGTCACCTAGATACATATCATGACCATGTAACTCATTCACTACATAGAGAAAGGCTCATTCAGTTACATGACTGTCTATATCAATTCAAATGCCAGTCACTATGCTTGTGGAGAGTCTCATGGAGTCTTCATAACCAGTCATTTTAACAGAGGGAATTTCAATGCACAAGAGCTTATGCTTGTTAACATAGAATTGAGAAATAAGATCATAGACATTACATTCACTGTCTATCATTTCTCTAGTCAAAAAGATATTATCTACTATAGCATTGATAGTGAAGGGTTTGAATATCATCTGAGATTTAAATCTTCTCTATTGCTTTCTCATAAGCTTCTTATTTTGCTCCTTTCAGTGTCTTTTGATTGAAGCTACTCTTTTCTCAAATTCTCACTCATATTCACATCATCATTGTTCAGTACCAGCTTGGGGATCACCTTAGCTATCATGGGGGTGACAGAGTGTCTGAGAGGTTTGAATGAGCAGCTCTTAATCATATGATCTCTGGCTCTGCATCTCAGACACAGGTCTTGCTCTCTTCATTGATTAATCTCTATCTGATTTATCAATTTAGCATGGTAGGCACTTGGGGTCACAGTATCAGGAGAGAGATTCATCAGATCATCAGTAGAAGCTTGAGACTGATTTCATCAGTCAAGAACAGCATAACAAAGTAGAGAGTGTGAATTAGATGTTGTATGATCTGAAGAAGATCTGCCCTCACAATGTTTAGACCACTGCCTTAAAGTCTTAAGTTCAGAGAGTTGATGATCAACTAATCTAAGCTTTTTGCAGTAATTCTCATAGAGAGATAGTTCCCTTACACTCATCATGCCTTCCCTCAGCTCCATGCTTAGAGTGGATTTCAAATATCTCTTTTTAATGTGATCATCTTATTCATAACCATCAGCTTTCAGCAGTAGCTGATTAAATTTATGTAGAAAGTTAAAGAGAGCTCTTCTACTCTGTCATAGATTGTTGAGCTTTTACATAGTCTTTTTCTGTCATGCAGAATCAATAAAGAGCATGTGTGTCTGCTTCAGTAAGCTCTCTACTGTGAAGTTGATCTTGTTCTTATTATTCTCAACTCAGAAGTATCAGAAGTATACTTGAGCTGCTGCCATTTCTTTCAGTCTTGAGTACACATATCAAGCACATTCCTTATTATTATCTAAAGCTTTCTCATCAACTTTAAGTTTTAACTGAAGCTTTAGCTCTTACTGAGGGTAGTGCTTCAGATTAGAATCATTATACTTCTCACAGTCTGATAGCTTGGTCTTTGATCTTCTGACTGCAATAAATGATTGCAGATTCAATTGAGAGAGAATTGATGTTGAGATATTCAAAGCTTGTTGTAGATTAGCTATTTCAGCTTGCTGAGCTGCTATTAAATCTCTGTTCTCACACTGAACCTGTTTCTGCTGTTGGAGAAAAGCTATTCATTATTGTTCAAAGCTGCTGAGGGTGTCTCTGCTCATTGCTTCATGTTAATCTATTTGTTGTACAAGTCTGCTGCTTTATCTCATTCAGCTAGACATTTTCAATGTTGCTCATTCATTTGTTAGCATGATTGCTAACCCAGTCTATTCATATACCAGTGCTATCACTGAACTTCATGATGCAGGATTTAAGGCTCTCAATAGTCTATTATATGTCAGCACATTTGCTGAGCTTCATGATACAGAATTAAGACTCTCAGTGACCTATCAATGAAAGGAGTGAAGCAATTTGTAATGTAAAGAGTTAAGCTCTAAGAACTAGAGGCTAGTCCTCCTATATAACAAGGACAAATTGCTTGAGAAAGGGAAGAAAAGAATGAGATGAGAACTTTAGCTTAAGCAAGCTCGCGTAGCATGATCATGTGCGCACATGCAAATGATGGCTAGGCTGAGTCAGCCAGCCAGAGCAAATCTAGAGGTTCAACCCCTTATAATGATGATCTTTTAGAATGAGGACATGCTCACTTCTAGATCAAAAGATAATGTTAGACTCAAGCACTGAGGCTAGATTTATCCCCATCACATGACCACACCCCACATGGGACCTAGTGGATCGGCTGTTATATGGTCACGTGATCATGTAGGCTGTTTATAATCTGAGCAGACCCTGATACCTCTTTTTTCTCATCAATCTTAGTATTTCATTATATAGCAGTTAGCAATGCAGAGAGCTTCCTTCTTATGCAGCTTGCATTTGCTCTCTAACAGATAATAAGACAACAGATTCAATTCATCTATTTAACTAAGCAGCTGCAATAAAAATACTAAACTGAAGATTAGAATGTAAAATAAACAAGCAGCTGAATATATAGAGATGATTTAGAATCAAATCAGATCAACATGAGCAACTAAATATGATTGAGATCAGAACAAATTAATTTTTAAAGTATAGCAAAATGAATCAATCTTTATTAATATATAAGTAGCTGTACTATAATACTTTTAAAATATATTTTTTATACTATAAAATAATTTATAGAATTAAATCTAATAGTTATTTTAATTAATTTAATAAAAATTATTATTTTTAACTTATAATTAATAATATCAGATTATTTTTACTTTGAGTTTTTATCATAATATTTATTAATAAAAATATATTTTTCAGATTTTATTAACTTTAAAAATAAAATTTATATATTTTAAATTCTTGCGAACTGCTATTTTAACTATATATCTTAATTATTACTAAGCTTATATATATCTACACATATGTATATATATTTTATTCTCTTATTGCTATTTTTCTCTTCTTTTTCTTTTTATAGTCATTATATAAATTAATTAGTTATTGTAAATACTACTATGTTAAATATACTATATTCTGACTTTTGTCATAGCTGCTCATTCATTTTATATTTTAATTTTCATTTTAGAATTCTCATTACAGCTGTCTAGTTAAATAAATTAAAGCTTTTATCTTATTATCATTTTGACTCTAGATTTAAACTATGATTCTCATTATACCAATTCAATAAAAATTCAAAGGTATTCAAAAGTATTTATAAGCAACTATGGAAGTCATTCCATCAGCAGAAGCTTGAGTTTAATCTATCTCTTCAGTTTTGTGGGAAGATATCAGCAAGCAGGCAAGGGAAGGAATTGATCTCACGTGCTCTCGTGCCTTCAAACGCGACAAGCGTGTCATTGCAACACCAGCGTCTAAATTTCCAACATATAATCTGGATCAGATCAAAATTCAGCCACTGGACAAATAAAATTTAAACAACCCACTATTCACACCGCCAATGGACCATTCTACAATTCTAGCAAAGCGGAAACCTCCTCTGTTCAAACCACCCCGCCCACGAACCGCCGGCGGCATAACAAAACCTCCCACAATCTCCAAAATGTCAAAATCTAAGCCCAAGTCCACAACCCGCACAACAAAACAATCCTCCTCCTTATCCACGTCCCGTAGAAAATCTTCGGGTCGCAAAAATGATAGCGATGTTATCCGTGTGTCGCGAACACCGTCCCCCAACCCTCCAGATCAAACCACCTCATCCCCACCGGGCTCTCAATCAGACAGTGGAAGATCCCAATCCAACTCCCGCTCCCCTGCCGGCGTACCAGATTATATCCTTGCAGAAATCACCGAATCTGCTCCTGTTAACCCACGCGAAGGGTTTGACTCTTCCGGACCCATGATCCCCAGCAAACTGCTCACGACACTCCTGCACCGCCATTTCCAAGACGAAAAGACCAAAATCGCTAAGGATGCCGGGCGGGTGGTGGCCAAGTATGTAGACATCTTTGTGCGGGAGGCACTGGCGCGGGCGGCGTATGAGAGGACACAGGTTGAGGAGAGTAGGTCGGATAGCCCTGAAGTACGAGGTAGAGCACGGGCTAAGGTTGATAGTTATCTGGAGGTGAGTTTATGGTTTTCTTTTTTTTTCTTTTTTTCTTATTTATTTATTTATTTATTTGGTGAGTTAAATGTGTTACTACAATGCTGATGGGTTCTAGATTGAGGACTTGGAGAAGTTAGCGCCGCAGATGGTGCTTGATTTTTAATTCTGTGATACGGCCCGGCGTTTTATGGATTTACGTTTTCAAATAACTATAATCATTCCGTATAACTAACTGAAGATAGTCAGAGGAACATCTGGATTCCCTCAAACACTCCGACGAGAGGAAGTGGCTCTCAGCCGAACATAAAGAGGGATATCTTATTTAAGTTTGGGTTTGCAGGGCGGCTAGTTTCGGGGAGTTCACGGTCATGGTTGGTATTTGGGATCATCCAGCAACTGTGTCTTTTAACAGGAATATTTATCGTACAATTTTGGGGTCTAAGGAATTTTTTTTAAAACCCGTCATATGCGGTCTGGTCATCGAAAATTGCATTCGAATTTTGCTCTTTCCCTGCAATTTTCTCTATGCTGAAACCCAAGGCGTAACTATTCGTTCTACCGTGAGAAAATAGTATCATCAGTTGGTTTTCACACCAAACCGCAGCCTCAGGCAGCAAATGCAGGTTATCTATCAGCCACAATTATCGCATCAGCCACAACACGCCATCACCCAGAATCAACCTCCTGTAACCAACTGTCATCTTGCGGTCGAGAACCAATTCTACAGATGCGCCAAAGGAGATGAGCATTTACACAAGGATGTCCGCACCAAAATCTATATAATGATCCGTCAAATCTGTTAAAGGGATGACACAGGATAGGACAATGACAGCCCTCTGCCAATGCTCATACCTACAGGGGCTTGCAACGTCTCAAACGGCGATGTGACGGTGCTCAAACTCTTCTACGCTTCGCATCGCAACCCCATTCATGCATGGAACAGTGGCCGTCCGCAATTGTAATGGAGCCTGCTAGCCCTTTAGAAAATGCAGATTGACCCCTAATCGCAGGATAGCTCACTTTTAGGGCTTGCTGTTCTTAAAATTCCAATTTGGCAGTGGTTGTTGCATAATGGCGACATCAATGTTCGATGAGATGTTGAAAACAAATCCTCTCATGGAAATTTCACCTGAATTTTAGGAACGAAATGTACTTGAAGATGAATTGTCTGCTACTCCGTGCTGATCAGTTCCTGAAGTATGCCTCCCTCGAGGACTTCATACTCAAGACATACTCATTCCTCCCCAGATCTACCCAGGGGTAAGAGTTCGAGGCCTGTGGCGTCAAATGTGTCTGATGCTATTGCCTCTAATCCTAAAAGGAATATGACTCCACTTGGGCATCCCGTTCGGATATGTGTCATTCCCCTTTAAAAATCCTAAGGTCCCAAGTGGCATACCATCTTTGGAATCCGTGACACCAAACTTCCATTTTGTCGTACCCCTGGTTTGTGAAAACCCTCAATCTGGGAGCTTGGATGATCTCGTTATTCGTCTTAAATCTACACTTTCCCCCTCCGTTTCCGTTCTTTTCTCTTCCGTTTACTTTCACCATCTCTGTGAGAAAGTGCTTTTAATGCCTCTTTCTTTTCTCTCTTTTTAATTTCTCTCCTTTGTGTACGAATATTTTTTACACATTCGCTTCTGCTATATCAAAGCGCCAGCCGCTTGTATTCATTGATTTAATTTTACTTTTGCTTCCTAGCCTCACTTTCTACGAACGATACGGGCCTTGTCCCTCTGCTTTGTCTTTCACGAACGTAATTTTTGAACAAAGAAAATCGAAAGTTCCAGAAATGTTGTTTCGAAGAGTGTTAGCATCGACTGTGCTTCTGTCAACCGGAATCCAGGCACAAGTTGAAAATAAAATCATCTCCGGATGGTCAGTTGTAAAAAGGCAATCTCCAGAGGGCATGGTTACGGTGCATACTGTTCAGGTTGGCAATGCAGAAGGCACTCAGAGATTCTACCCTGACTCTCTTAAGGTTGAGCCAGGCTCAATGATCCAGTTCCAGTTCCATCCGAAGGTAACATACCCCCCTAGCCCTAGAAGGAATGATTAAGTTGAGAGGAGTTGGTAGCTAATTTATCGTTCTCTAGAACCACTCTGTCTCCCAGTCTACATGGGAACAACCATGTTCTCCCATAGGTGCATCTAATGGCTCTCATCCCGCTATCAGGTCCGGGTTTTTACCGGTTTTACCTGATGCCGCACAAATGCCTGTGTTCACGGTTATGGTCCACGACAGCAACCCATTATGGTTGTTCTGCGGCCAGACTAACCACTGCCAAAATGGCATGGTCATGGTTATAAATCCGTAGGCATTCCTTTACATCCCATCAAGACGAAAGCTGAAATCAAATGTAATTGCTAATATATATCGTCCCATATCTAGTCCAGTAGGAGCAGACAAGGGGATTGAAGCATTCCGGTCAGCGGCGATGTCTGGAGGCGGTAGTTCCCAAGGTGGTATCCCCATTCTACCAACCGGCGGTTTCCCCGGGGGTGGTGGTAACGGCGGTGTAGCACTCCCAACGGGCGGAGCTCTACCGTCAACCGCTGCTGCTGGTACCGAAACACCAACTCAGACTAGGCCACTTTCAGCCACCACCAACGCAGCGCCTAAGCAGATGTCTCACGCTGCAAGTCTCTCCAGTGTATTGATTGCCACTTTTGCAATTTTCGGACTGTAGGGGGAAATTTGCTTTCTTTTTTCTGTGTCCGACCTGGGCTCCATGGGGAAAGAGATTGGGAAAGTAACTTCCCAGGTAGTTGTTCTGTAGTTTCTTGTTCCTTTCCTTTCTTTCTCTTTTCTCTCAGATTAATTATCTTGTCCCCTTTTGCGTCTTATATCTCTTGACTTTTTTCTTATTCCCTCTCAGGGGTATGTGATTTTCTTATTATTTTGTGCCCCAGCCTTAAATCTGATTATCATTTGCTTGTCCAAATGTGGCTGGTCCGCAAAATGAGCTCTAATCCAACATTGCCCCTCTGTTACATTCGAGTTTTCTTCATCTGCTGTTAGGTGTGCGTATGATAGAACATTGAAAATAGTAGCAAAATAAATAAAAGTCAACCCGGTACAGAGTATTGAAATGGAATCCTCAATATCGGCCAACAAATTTTGGATTATTTCAGCCCTGTCTAGCAGTGTTTGACAATACTGCGGCTAGGGGGACTGTAGCACGACTAAACCAACTTAAGTTTATTAGGAAGGTTAGCCGACCTCGTCAAACCTTCCCATGCAAGTTAAAAGATGCGATGTCCCAACCAACAACACGCGATCTCAACGGGAATATCTCGATGTTAGCGGGGTTAGAATTGGAATGTGCATTGTCTGCCTAGACATACAGACCATCCTGTGCAAGTATGCCATCTACTATTTCGTCCCACAACAATGAATGACACCATAACTTCCCTGCTCACGGAGCACTTCAGCTACACCCCACTGGTAAGCTTCCCTCCCCCCCCCCCCCCCATCCCACTGGCCGATAAAGTAACTTGCATTGTATGTTATGTCCCAGTCTCTCATCGACGACATAATAAACTCCATAAACAACCTCATCTACCAAGCCATTTCCAGCCTGGAAGAGGGTCTTTTAAATGCCCCGCCAGAACGTCTAGGGTTCTCACACACAGCAGACTCTATCCCTGACACAGATGATGATGGCAACATAGAGTACCCGGAGGCCCGGCTGGAGATAGAAAACGGGCTGCACCAGCTGGAGACGCTGCTTGAGGCGACAGTGGATAAAGCGTTTGATAAATTTGAGATTTACGTACTGCGCAATATCTTGACGGTACCCGAAGATTTGCTGGGATGGATCCGCCTGTCGCATTATGAGGTAGGGCGACGGAGTCAGCATTAGAATCGCCAAAGCTGCCATTTTTACCATTCATGCAAAGCTATAGGATATTGTTTACTGGATACTCGCTAACTATTGTGGAATATTTCTCATCATAGAAGCTCTCCCTCACATCCATTCCTCCCAACTCCCCAACCCTAGAATCCATAACCCTCCAACGCTACAAGCTACGTGAGAACCGAAAACTGCAGCGCGCACTGAAACAAGAATCCGACCGCAATGAAGCAATAATTGCACAACTCCGCTCAATCCTGTCAAAAGACTGCCACTCAGCCTCCACAGAAGAAAAGCAGGCAACAACCACAGCCACAGATATATTGACAACGACGAAAAACCCCGACAAACCCTCGATTCCAACGACAGATGCCCCCGATCTCTCCTTCCTCGTTACCGATCCCACCGCCCGACGCCTGCGAATTGGTGACGCCGCAGACCCTTTACGAGCCCCCATCACAACCAACACAACATTCATACTCTCCCAACTCCCCGCGCTACGGATAATGCTTGCACAACTCCGGCCGAAATTATCGACGTTGCCCAAGTCTGTGGATCAGATGGGACTAGATCCGAAGCGTGAGGAGAGAATGGAGTACATTGAGAGTCGGACGCGATTGCATCTAGAGCGGAATGGGGGGCTGGGGGCTGGGAATGAGCATGGAGTGGTAGTTGCTGGGCGGAGGATTGACGGGGAAGAAGCACAGGCGTTAGAGGGAGTGGTGGAGATGTTGGAAAGCGGTTGACTGGCTTACTGTGCGGGTGATTGAGATCGAATCTGGGAAATGGGATTTATTCAAGAGCTTTTCTTTTAACTACTTTGTACTAGTTTCTTTCACTTCGGGTTCTCCTTTTCGGAGTTTGCTGGGAACTGCGTGATTTTACCTTCAACACAGCGTAATGTTTATGTTATATGCTTTGGGTTCACGGAAAGAGGTTTAGAAGGGTTTTGTTCAGGGTGGATCGAGAAAAAGGGGGTGGGTATGACATTTTACTATATACGTATGATGCCTCTTTTACGAAATAGGATGTCACGAGTGCCTCTGAGCCTAGGCAATTTACCGGCCCCTGCGGAAAATGGATTATAACGATTCGGTATAATTCAGGAAGAAGTGGACTGGAACTGGTACATTATCTCTTTCGCATTGTTGACGCTGCCAGCCACCCATACGTCGCGCAGGTTGTGTGTCAGCTTGATGTAGCTTAAACCATGATGCAAAAAGGGTGCCTGATATAAACCTAGTTGATTATTGCCCAGCTTCAAATTAATATTACTTTTTCAATCTTTAACAAATTGCTTCAG